AAAGGGTCCGCTTGGCTGTTGAGTGAAGACCAGAAAGAACCCAGTGGGGCAGGAGTTGAAGCCTGAGAGACCACCCAGGCCCCCCACAGTGGGAGAAGAGGCTGAGTTTGCTTGTGGGCAGAAGGTGGAACAGGCGCCTTTCTTGACGGTTTTGGGATGGTGGGGTGGTGGGGTGGTGGTGGAGGGTGTTGGAGGGAGAAGTCAAAGATGAATTCAGGGCTGGAGGCCCAAAGGTGGGGCTGCAGGGGCCTGTGCAGGTGGGGCGGGTGGGGACCAGGACCTGGCACAGGGACAGGGACACAACTTGGAGTCACTGGGCTGGGGTTTGAAGCCCAGCTCTTCCCAGTGCTATGTTCTTTTGTCCTTTTTGCCTAAGTACCCTCCTCTGTAAAATATGATTGATGACGTAAGCCGCCTCACAGAATAGGGTATTATACATGTATAGTACTTAGATCGTGGCGCTTAAGTAAGCATCCTTCAAGAGCAAATGAAATAAACTTCTGAGTGACTGGGTGAAGGAACCGCAGTTTCGGGGTGGGGCTTGGGGGTCCAGGAGGGCCACGGGTCCCTCCAGGTCCTAGGCCTGCACGGGCCAATCCGGCACTTGTTGCTGCCTCAGTCCCCAGCTCCAGGGCTGGGTGGGGAGGGGGATCCCTAAAGTTTCACCTGGGGCTTTTGTCTGAAGATGGTTTCCTGCTATCTTGCTTGTCTGGCAGGGATCTGAAACCAAGTCTTTCTGTCATGGGCATTTCCGTGCGTCCTGCGGAGCCCTGTGCGTGGGTCCTGCTGTGCATGATACGCTTTTCCTCCTGATAGCAAGTCCCGTGGCTCCGTGCTGTTTTGATGTTGTGGGCTGCCCCCTTGGCACCTTTCCTGCTGCCACCCGTCAGGCTCCAGAAGCTTTGGGGTGGGATTGACATGGCCTTGGGCTGATCTCTTCACTGCCCACCCTGGTCGACAGAGACTGGGTGCCCACTGGGTGCCTGTGTAGAGGGATCGCTGGCTGTGTGTGCGCCCTGCTATATCTCAGGCTGAAGCTTTTTGCTCTTCTTGTGTTCCACAGCCCCTAGTACTATACACAGGCTCCTGAAGGGACCCACGAAGCCCTTCTGATTAGATTTGATGTGAGAGGTGGAAAGTGGGCACCTCCATCCTGGGAGGGATGACTAAGAGTTCTAAAATCCAAACCAAAACAAACTAACCTTTCAGGTTATCCTGGCTGTTTTCTTCAAGTCCAGATATTTTATAGTCTCACAGAGATGAGTTCTCTGGCAGCTTTCAGACCCTGAAGCTTCCAAGTTCCAGAGGAAGGGTCTGCTTCTTGGCTGCTTTGATATCTGATTGCCATCAAAACTGAGTGCTTTGATCCAAACTTGTAATTTAACGCTGTGTTACATGAGCATTTCAAACCATAAATACCACACTCTAAAAAGTGCTTTTTCTGGCTCCATAGCATTGTCCCCAGAGAACACAGCTGTAATGACTTTTAGTCCTTTGAAGCTGTTAGGATCTGCTCTGTAACCAGCTGAAGGACAGTTCTGAAGAAGACTTGCGTGTGCTTGAAGTGTTCTCTCAGGTACAGGACTTTGTGTTGGTCTAATACAACAGTTTCTTAATTACATCTCTGTAGATCTTGCCATTCCTTATTAATATTCTTTCCCGATCTATTAATTACTAAAAGATGGATCTTTAAATCTTTTGCTACCACAGATTTGTCCATTTCTTTCATTTCGTGCTGATTTTGCTTTATCTATTTTGAGATTTTTTTTCAATGCAGCAAATTTAGAATTATTGCAGCACCTTAATTAATTGTAGCCATTTTTGTTTTTACTTTTTGGTTTTTTGAGACAGGGTCTCACTGTATAGTTTAGACTGACCTGGAACTCACGTGTAGCCCAGGTTGATCTTGAACTCACAGCAATCCTCATGCCTCAGCCTCCTCAGTGCTGGGATTACAGGCGTGCGCCACCACACCCGGCTCAATTGTAGCCATTTTTATTTCTCCCAGTGTCTTCGTTTTGCAGTCTATTTTGGCTGCTATAAATATAGCTAGACCAGATTGCTTTTGGTTAGTATTGCTTGGCCTGTCTTTTTCTAGCCTTTCATGTTTATCTTCTCTTTGTATTTTTTTAAAAGTCTGATTTAAATAATTTTTAACTGAAGAACATTTGGTGTAGTCTGATCTGTTGTTAAAGCAGTAGGCTGAGTTCATTTATATTTATTTGAATTATTGAAGTATTTGGATTTATTTCTGTGACCTTATTTTGTGTTTTCTGTTTGTGCTTTTTCTATGAGTAACTCACCCACCTTTTTTATTTGCTTGAGCTTCCCATTTTCCGCACTTCATTTTTTTTTTTCCTCTTCCAGAGTTGAGGATTTAGCCCCAGGGCCTCTTACTTGCTAAGCAAGAGCTCCACTACTGAGCCACTGAGCTACACCCCTGGCCCTTTTAGTCCTGTTTGTGTACTTTTCTATTCTTGCTGTTCTTTTATATATAT